CTCCTCTTCTCCCCTTCTCATTCTCCTAGTTCCCTCTCCCCTCCCCCATGCTATCAATTTGCTCAGGAGACCTTGTCCCTTTCCCCTTCTCCAAGGTACCTTGCATGTCTCTCTTAGGATCCTCCTTGTTTACTAGCTTCTCTGCCAGTGTGGATTGTAGGCTGGCATTCCTTTACTCTATGTCTAAAATCCACATATGAATAAGTACATACCATGTTTGTCTTTTGTGATTGGGTTACCTTGCTCAGAATGGTTTCTTGTAGTTCCATCCATTTTCCTGCAAATTTCAAGATTCTATAGTTTTTTTTTTCTGCTGAGTAGTACTCCATTGCATAGGTGTACCATATTTTCTCTATACATTCTTCAGTTGAGGGGCATCTATGTTGCTTCCAGTTTCTGGGTATTACAAATAGTGCTGTTATGAACATCGTTGAACAGATGTCCTTGTTGTACGAATGTGCTTCTTTGGGGTATATGCCTAAAAGCAGAATTGCTGGATATTGTGTCAGACTGTTTCCCATTTTCCTGAAGCCAAGGAAAAAGAGTTTGACAATGAACCTTCTGCTTTTATTGTGTGGAGTACTATGAGTAGCTTTTGAGACCTCCTGAAACCGAGAAGCTTCTGTAAGGCAAAGGACACAGTCAGCAAGACAAAACTGCAGCCCACAGACTGGGAAAAGATATTCACCAACCCCACATCTGACAGAGAGCTGATCTCCAAAATATACAAATAACTCAAGAAACTAGTCTCCAAAACACCAAACAATCCAATTAAAAAGTGGGGTACAGAACTAAATAGATAATTCTCAAGAGAGGAATCTGAAATGGCTGAAAGACACATAAGAAAGTGTGCAGCATTCTTAGCCATCAGGGAAATGCAAATCAAAACAGCTCTGAGATACCATCTTACTCCTGTCAGAAGGAATAAATTAAAAAAAAACTTCTATGACATTTTATGCTGGAGAGGATGTGGAGAAAAGGAAATACTCCTCCACTGCTGGTGGGAGTGCCAACTTGTACAGCCCTTTTGGAAATCAGTATGGTGACTCTTCAGGAAAGTGAATCAGTCTACCACAAGATCCAGCAATTCTGCTGTTAGACATATACCCAAAAGAAGTCCATTTGTACAACAAGGACATCTGTTCAACAATATTCATAGCAGCACTATTTGTAATAGCCAGAACCTGGAAGCAACCTAGATGCCCCTCAACTGAGTAATGGATAGAGAAATGTGGTACATCTATGCAATGGATTACTACTCAGCAGAAAAAAACAATAGAAGTGAGGTATTGAGAAGAATGAGAAGGGGAGATGAGGAGGGGTGAGGAGGATATGAGGGAGCAGAAAGGTTGAGTTGGGGGAAGAATAGAAAAATACAAGAATGGGGATATCATAATAGAGGGAGACATTTTAGGTTTAAAGATAAATTAGGCACTAGGGAAATGTTTGGAGATCTACAAAGATGACACCAACTAACAATCTCAGCAATAGAGGAGAGGCTACCCTAAATGTCCTCCCCTGATAATGAGATTGATGATTGATTTATATGCCATGCTATAGCCTTCATTCAGAAGCTGGTAGAAGTAGAAGCAGATACCCACAACTAATCACTGAACTGGAATTGAATCCATTTGCAGAGAAGAAAGAGTTATGAGCAAAGGGGTCCAGACCAGGCTGTTGAAACCCACAGAAACAGGTGACCTGAACAAAGGGGACCTCTTGATCCCCAGACTGATAGCTGGCATACCAGCATGGGACTTGACCATACCCCAGGAACATTGGTTCCTGTGAGGTGTCCTCAGAAATCTATGGTACCTCCTGTAGTAGATCAGTACTTACCCCAACATAGGTGTGGATTTTGGGAGCCCATCCCACATAGAGGGATATTCCCTGAGCCAAGAAACACAGGAGTAGACCTCGGCCCTATTCCAAAGAATATGATAGACCCTGATGATCCCCCTATGGAAGCCCTCACCCTCCCTGGGTAGCAGATACGTTATGTGATAGGTAGGGATTTAGTTGTGGTTGGTAGGGGATGAGGGGAGGGAGAGAGCAGGAACTGGGATTGTCATGTAAAACAATATTGTTTCTAATTCAAATAAAAATCAGAAAAAAAATACTCCTGGTCTTTTAGGATTCAATCTTGGAAAATATTTTTGTTTGTACAGTGGTTCCCATGCTCCTTCCTCATTGAATATTCACAGGTTAAGCTTTTATTATTTTCATTTTTTTCTGAGAATATAATTACAACATTTCTCCCTTTCCCTTCCTCCCTCCAAACACTCCCATATAGCCCTCTATGCTCTCTTTCAAATTATTGAATTCTTTTTATTCATTAATTTCTACTGCATATATATATATGCATATATATATATGTGTGTGTGTGTGTGTACTTATATATTCTATGTATAACCTGTTCAGTCATTGTTATGCTACTTGTATGTATGTTTTCTGGGCTGTCTGTTTGGTATTAGATAAACAATTGACATATTTCTCCCTGGGGAAGACTATTGATGGAGTAAATTTTAACTGCCCCTGTCACTCCAGATGTTGGTATTACATACTCTATTACTAAACCTCATTAAATGTGACCTAAAATATCAGATATTTCCAAAACTTCTGCTCTGATTTTAGGATAACAAACTGAGAAGCAGGAGAATCTGTTGCAAGTCAGGTTCTACTCACCAGCGGATCTGAAACCACCTAGAGGATCAAAGTGAGGGGTTATATGAAGAGACTCATATGTGATAAAGGGGCCACAGTGAGTGATAGGTTTTGGAGGGACATACAGACCTCAACATCCAAGAGAAGCGAGAGACTCTGGGCTTTTCCTCTAGGAAGAGAGGAGTTATGCAGCCTCCAGAAAAGAAGGGCATGAAAAAGTGACCTACAGGACAATTGGAGCATGCACAGTGCAACACAAGATGCTGTAATTGGGGACACAGCTAAAACTGGAGACAGGTGTGGAGTATAGGGTAGAATCACTGTCTTAACCTCCTTAGGGTTAGGGGTGAGAGAGCCTCAGGCCAACAATCTCCACACAGTATGAGTTTCACATTCACCTGGCCACCTTTTAGCACTGTAGTTAGTACTTTGACACCACAATGTTTCCTTTAATTATTTGGTTTTATTTCCTAATAGAAATGTGGATGGATGGGAATAAAAATGAGTTAAAAGAAGATCTTCATCAGGCTAGCCTGAGAGTCAATGTGTGGGCTACAGAGACTTATTGCAGAAGTCTTGTCTTAGCCCTGCCATTGACTCCCTGTTTGTGCTGTGGAATATTGAACTATGTAAAGATGTGTTACATTTGTTTATGCTGCAGAATGTTACTTTAACTATATGAAGGTTGTTTCATCGGTTTATGCTGTATTTGTTTAATTATGAAGAGGTGTTGCTGTTTTACCTTCTTCTGATCCAATACTAAGCTTAACTGACTTGGCCTTCCATTTCAGAAAGGTTTCAGGTTTTCTTGGGTCCCACATTGTCTTGTTTTGTGTTTAACTCCACTTATGAGGACTCTAAATTCTCACACCTACTCCATACCCTCCTTTGCCATAGATAGAGTGCCATCTTATGTAGTATTTTCTCCTAGACTTCAAAAGTCTAAAAACAGTGTCTCACTCATCATGTCATTGTTTTCTCCTCCCCCTCCTTCACTGTCTTCTTCCCCACAAATTATCCCTATTTACAAAGAGCAGATGTTTGGCAAATGTTTGTTTGGGGAATAAAAATGTCAATGAATAAGAAGTTAACTCTATTATAAATTACGTTCCTGCATTGTTGAATAAATGAAACATACAGATACATAAGCTCAATTTGATTTTATTTTGTAGAACAAATGATGGTAGGAATCTCAAAAGTCAAGAGTGCATCATCTAGTACATTTTCACATTTTCTTGCCAACAATTTTATTGATTTTTTTCATATTCTAAGAAAATGCTTCTTCCGGGTGCCATGTTTTCATGTTTCAGATAAAAAGATGATGTGTCCTCAATTTGTTTTCAGTACTGAAACTCTTAACTATTTATTAAGCATCACAATGTTGACTGTATAACACCTATCATCCATATATTGAGGTGATGCAGCTAACTCAATTGTTCTAAAAGGAAGTTCGAAAACTTGGACAAACTAATCTGAAAGTTATTCATGTAGAGTGAGGCTATAAATATGTGATGCATTATTTTCTCCCCAGCACCACCTCGGGCAAAGCAATGATTTTATTCAGTGATAGTTGGAGAAATTGCTGCAATTGTGATTGGACTGTGCACCAGGCATCAGACCAATAAGAATCATAGATGTAAATTTGGCTTGGGTTCTCTCTTGCTTATCTCTCAAAGCATCTTGATACAAGGATGGAAAGGCACTGGGCACAGTATCATGGACCTTGGCCAGGAACTCAAGGACTCTCATTTTGCCAGTTTCAAACTGGGCCCTGGGACCCCACAAGAATTGATAGCATGAAGAACCTCTGTAGGGGACCCGCCGATATTCCAGGTATCCCTCACTCACAAAATCTTTAGTAATGAGCTTCTTGACATTTCCATAGATGAAGTGATCGACTCCAGCATATATCCCTATCACACTAAGTACTTCCCAGATATATTCTTCATTAGCACAGCTGCCTTTTATGAAGATCACACATAGGATTGTCACCAAGAGGCCACTCTTGGGCATGATTGCCTCACCATTCATTATTTCATCACCATTAGGATTTAATATGCTGACAAGGGCATAACAGTGTCTGATAGTGTCAATTTCCTTAACATCAATACCAAATGCTAGCACCATCAGCTCAGAGGCTTTCTTAAGGACATTGGGGAAATTTTCCTTATCCTGTGGGATGACATGCTTTAATATGTCTTCCTTTGTTATTGGCTCCCTCTTGTTGTACTTTCGAAGCATGAACTGCACCAATGAAATTGCTATGTCTCCTCTCTGGGTTGAAGATGAATAACTAGTTGACGGCTGCGCCCAGGAAGTGCTTGGTCTCTCTCCGTCTTGGCTCCTGTTACCTTCATCTGACTTGGTATCTGAAATACTTACAAGAGCAGTAGTGGGCCTCTGAGACTGTGACTCAACAGCAGAGATGCTCTGGACATCACTACTACAAAGGGGAGAAGAGGAAGGAGTCTCTCTCTCTTCTGTTGTACTGGCATGAGCATCTGGAATACGCCGCATTTCACTTCGAGCCTGGAAGCGTCTCTCACGGGCCCGGAGTTTACTTTTACGGCCACGAGGCATGGTGATTCTGGTCAAGGAGTGTAATCAGAAGAGCAAGTATGGTCTGCACCTAGGGATGGGAAGATGAGATAGTGTGTGTATCTAAAGAAATGTGAGACCATCTTGGTCTTTAAACCAAGCTTTCCTTACCAAAGTTCTGTGACAGAAATGTGTTAAAAAAATCTATGGGGTCCTTGTCTGTTAGTCTGCCCCCTGAGAACTCATTAAAGGAAATTAGAGAGTGAATATGAGTTCGATTGAGCTCTGATATCCCTGCCTAGCGTGAGCTAGAGATAAGAGCCGCTGCTAGCAGGTCTAGGTTGCATGAAGTAGGAAATGATCATCTAAATTTGCCTTTAAAATCATCAAGCCACATCTGGATTTGCATTTAAAGGCATTACTCTACCAGAACTTCTCATTTGTAGCTCCTCTGAAGCTCTATCAGTAGCCATTAAGAGAAAACTGAAGTAGGACCCTAAACAGCTACCCTTTCTGGGGATTCCCAGAGCTGTCAACAGAGGCTAAAAGATTTTAGTCTTCACTTGCAACCATAAACCATAGAACAAGGACCCTACCTCCCTGAAGCCCAACTTCCCAGTAGCCCCATCCCAGCACATCCAAGGGTACACAACACAGGCAAATGTCTGTGTTTACCCTCTGTTGCCATGTTGAGTTCCCTACTGAGGAATCTCATTCAAAATCTTATCCTTTGTTTTTTATAAACCCTAGAAAATGTACTCCTTTGCTGACCTGAGTCTACTAACCTAAAATCAAAGTCTTCATTTGCTCCTTGGTACTTCAAGGAAGAAATGGGCGCGAGTTCAGAGCAATGGCCATACCCGAAATGTCTCAGCACTGGGTTCAGTGAAGTACAGGGTTCTGTCCATGCGTCACAGAGCACGGGGGCAATGTTCACAATGTCATCACCTTTAATTTTCCAGTCACTTTTTGTCCTCCGAAGAAATCTCTAATCAAGGAGGTAGAAGTCAGTACTCTCTTTCTTTGACAGTTATACATGGGGTTTCTCAGTGATGAAAGCATGGGAGGGACTCTTGATTTTTGAGAAGGTTGTCACCGTTGAATGGGATTGGGCGTTCACTGGTGTAAGGGGGTGGAGTGTGGGAATCTTCATCTTTGCTACTTCTTTAAATGTTCCTTGAAAATATCAACTTCGAGAAAGCTCTGAGATGTTTCCCAGTTGCAAGCCTTGGATCAGATTCAGACACTGGATACAGATGAAGAAGCTGCCAGGATCCCAGAATAGATGTTGGAGTTGTAAGAGAAAAAGTTCTATGAGTTTGGTTCTGTTCATCAGTTAATATTGGATTTTAGAATCTTCTGTCTACTTTTTTAACTTTTATGTATTTGTTTATTTATTTACTTATTTATTTATTGGGTTTTTCGAGACAGGGTTTCTCTGTGTAGCTTTGGAGCCTATCCAGGAACTCACTTTGTAGACCAGGCTGACCTTGAACTCACAGAGATCAGCCTGCCTCTGCCTCCCCAGTGCTGGGATTAAAGGTGTGCGCCACCAAGGATCAGTTCTGTCTAATTTTTTAATTGGAAGAATCTGAGATGTACAATTTCTTGACTCCATTTATATTAGTATATGTATTTACACCCCTAAGAATTGTGGAGTGTGTGTGTGTGTGTGTATGTGTGTGTGTATTTTTGATGAAAGACTACCCTATGCATGGAACACTCAATTTCTTATACTTGTTATCTTAATATTTGTATCCACTGTGTAACTAGCCTGCCATCATTTGTTATACTACTATTTTAAAGTATTTTTCTCAGAAAGAAATAACTATTAGTAAAATAAAGATGTTATAAGCTTCTAGAATCACACAGCCATGATTCAAACCTTTGTGCTTCCTCAGTATTACCTGGCATTACTGACAGAATCTGAGGAACTGACCCAGATCCTTCAGTGAAGCAGGACATATTCATTGTCACACAAGGAAAAGGCAAGACTGTAATCTAAAGTTGTCCTCCAACTAACTATAATTACAGGCTACAGACCTATCTTTACTTCAGTGAATATGCCCACTTACCCAAATACAAGTACTCACTCAGCCAATACTTAGTCTTTCCCAAGAATTCTTAGGTTTGCTATTTATCTATTACTAATATTGTTTTTTAATATTTTGCCTATTTTTTTCCAGGACTAAGTTTCATAAACAACAATCCAAGTCTGGTCACCACATTGGATGCTGAAGGGAAAGCACTGTATCAGTCTCCTGGGATTGTTATATCAAAAATACCATGACTATTTTCATATTTGATTATTTGTAACTAAACCTTCAGTTCTTAAATATACTTGAAACCACATAAATTAAATAAATCACTTAGCATCTTTGTTTAGCAATAAATAGGACAAACATATTCTCTCACATTTGAGTCATTGGTACTCTCTTTTCTAGAATTTTCTAACATCTTAAATTTGTATTTTCCTAAAAGAATAAGTAGTGTCTGATGGTTTCCATAATCTAAAATACTTTTTAATAAAATTTTCCCACAGAGTTGCTTAAAGACCTATGTAATGGAAGAATTTTCTCATTTGTGGCTCCCTCTTCCCAGATGAACCTGTCTTGTGTCAAGTTGACAAAAAACTGACAAATACAAGGTTCTATTACCACATAAAGTCATATTAAAAGGTCGTAGTTTCAACATATAAAGGGCAGGATATAATTGTTTGTTCATCAGATACTAAATGTGTAAACAATTTAAGAAATGACATCTTCATATTAGGTATAATCCATTGAACAAATGTACTGATTTATTTATTGACTCCATCACCCTTAGTTTATTTTTGCAGTTGCTTAGAAAAAGATTGTATACACTGTTGTTCTGTTCATTTGTGGATAAGTTTGGGTGTTTGTTATTATGCCCGTGTTACTTGTCTTTATTGTTAGTTTCATGTGGCAAATTTCTTGGATTTAGTGATGTATTTAGCAACTTCATGGTTTCTGATTAATTTGAGTATTTTATAAAGTTATTCACTTGAATTTCTCTAATTGTAGACTCATACCATGTATTATTTCTCTCTTGATATTTCTGCTCTTATATAGTTTGGTGTTTCACTATTTTGCCTATGTAGTTCCTATTTAAACAATAGATGATATCATATATCTACATCTTGTTCTTGACTTTAATGTGGATATTTTTAACATTTCAAATTCAGTCAAGCTTATTGTAGATATTATTAAATGACACTTCTCTTCTAATGAGCCTGTTATTTTCTAAAGAGAAGCAAAAAGGAATTGGGTTCAGATGAGAAGGGAAGTGGGTAGGAAATTAGAGGAGTAGAATAAGGGGAAACAGTAGTATGTAGATGTTGTATGGGAAAAGAATATACTTTTAACAAAAGAGGTCAGCTTTTTTTTTTTAAAAAAAAAAAGAGAATTCTCTTCTAATGAACTTTGCTGAGAGTTTTTTTCCTACATAATTGTTACATATTTTATCAAAGCTTTTTATGCATATGTATAAATGGCCAAATGTCTTTTCTTCTCTACCTTATCAATGTAGGGAAAGTCCAATCAGTACTTCAAGTTATATCTTTGCATTTTACCATCTACTTATTAATTACTTCACTGAATGATGCAGATTTATTTATGGTATATGTCTCCACATAAATGAACTTATCTCAAGGAGTCTTTATTTTTTATGATTTATTTATTTTTATACTTAAGTGTATATATCTGCACATGTTTATGTGCACCACATTTATGCATTTACCCTCAGAGGTCACAGGGATTAGGATACCCTAGAAATGGAGCCATAGGCAGTTGTGGGCCAAATGATATGGATGCTAGAGAACAAAACCAAGACCTCTGCAAGAGCAGTACATTGCTCTTAACCCCTGAGCTACCTCTTCAGCTCATAGGATATTTTCTTAAGGAAACATTACTTGGTTTTTGTACCAAGATTGATTTAATTGCTGAAAGTAGCTCAATGTTTGATCTTTTAATATAACTTAGAACAGTTTACATATGAAGAAAATTGCTTTTTCTATAACCACTTTGTGAAACTTGCCTACAAATTTGACTTTTTGTAGAATATTTTACAGACAATAGATTAGAATATTAAATAGAATCACAGATTTGACAACCTATTACAAGCAATCATAGAAAACTGTATCAACTACACTTAATAAACATCATGAAAACAATATCACTTATCAGATAACATTGTAGGTATAAGAGGGAGAATAAAGGTTGGAGGGGTGAGTATGGCAAGAATGGATTATAAACATATATAAATTTTCAAAGAATAAGCTAATAAATGTGAATATGAAAGGAAAATGTACAAAATGGAAAGTAGCATTTAAGCTCATATGAATGATGAGGAAGTACTGTCAAGGTTTTTTTTAATGTTTTTTAATGAACTCTTAATAAGTATGAACCCTTTTTTCTAGAGAAGAAGGTGGTAGTTGTACAACACTGTGACTACACTAAATTACATTTTTAAAAGATTTTCTACACATTTTGTAAACTTTATTTTGATTAAATAGTGAAATCAATGGTACCAAATTATAACATAGTCTGATGAAATTTTCAATGTACATAGTGGTAATGTTAAGACAGCACTCTATTTTAGAAACAATTTTATTTTACAAATCAATACCAGTTCTTTCTCACTTCTTTCATCCCATGCCCCCCACTGACCCCAAACCTACCCCCTACCCACTCCCCAAGGATAGTGAGGTATTCCATGGGGTACCATCAAAGTCTGTCACATCATTTCGGGGACAGCCTTGGCCCTCTTTCTTGTATCAGGGCTGCAATAGTATCTCTCCATAGGGAATGGGCTCCCAAAGTCCATTTGTACTGTAGGGATAAAGACTGGTTCCACTGTTAGAGGTCCCGTAGATTTCCCAGGCCTCCAAGCTGGCACCCACATTCAAAGGGCTTGAGCACTCTTATGTAGTAGGAATATCCAAGAACCTGAAGTTTCTATATTAAAATGAAACATCTAATGATTTAAAAGAGCAGAATAAGATAAATTACATATAAATACTA